CTGGCCATCGAGGGACGCGTCCTGCAGCAGAGTCTCACCCAGGAGATGACGCCGGGCGAACTGAAGTTCGCCCTCGAAGTGGAGACGGCCCTCAATCAGATACCGCAGCCCGAGTACAGGCAGCTGGTGGTGGAGGCCCTGATGGTGCTCACCCTCGTCACCGAGCACAACATGGTGCCCACTCTCGGGGGCATCATCTACGTGGAGCATCTGGTGCACAAGGCCAACCAGCTGTTCCTCGAGGACCAGCGCAAGGTGCAGGGCGATGCCACGCTGTGCTGCGCCAAGATCAAGGACGGCAAGGAGCAGCAGCAGGCCGCCTCGGGGATGCTGCTGTGCGGCGGCGCCGCCTACATATGCCAGCACCTCTACGACAGGTGAGGATTGGATCACTAAATGGGATCACTAATATCTGGTTTCCTTTTCCCTGCAGTGCTCCCAGCGGCAGCTACGGAACCATGACCTACATGTCCCGGGCGGTGGCCCTGGTGCTCGACTGTGTGCCCAAGCACGGCGAGATGGAGTGCGCCATCTCCTGAAGCGGCGGGCCTCCACTTAATGTAATGCCAAAATCTCTAGCTCTGCAACTCTGGATACGTCCGTTCTCGTTCTCGCTTAGCCCCGTCTCGCTTTCTCTCGATCCTGTCCTGCATTTTTTTGTTTTTCCCAGCCTCTGACCCAAAATGTATATATTCTTTGACCCGAAAACCTGTTTGTTCTGACCGAAAACGAAGGCAGAATTAAGAAGCCAATCGAATGGTATTAGCCCACTTATGTGTGTGTGTTGACCCTTTGGAAGGATACTCCAAAAGCCCCCCCCCAAAAACAGATCCCTATCCCAATCCTAAACCATTTGGAAAGCCAACAGTACAGATTTGTTTTTTGTACTTGCGGACGACACTTTTGATTGTTTTAACTTTTATATTTTTAACTGACCCTATTTTATATTATACGTTTGAATTGTAAAGTTGAACGCGCAGCAAGATTTACAATAAAAATGTGTTTGCAATGTTTCTCAAGTATTTTTATTGGGTAAAGGGGAAAACTGCTACTTAGGGTTTTAACAATTGTTCTCAAACTGTACACGCAAGCGAAAGCTTTCGTATGGTTTGTGCATTGGGTGAGCTTTTTATATGGTTTGGGTATTGGATGAGCTTTTATGCGGTTTGAGTATTGGGTAATGAGTTTACAGTTTGAGAGCAATTGGTGAACGCTAGGCGGCTGCTGAAAACGTTGGGCAAGATAAATTGAGGTAGAATGTGACGCTATCTTGACAGTGGTTTTTCGGCATAATTTAAAATTGAGGTAGTAAGTGGCGCTATCTTGACCAAAGTTTTTAGCAGCCACTTAGCGTTTACCAATTGCTCTCAAACTGTTAGATAGCAACATCGAATACCAAGTGACTCTCAAACTGTAATTCATGTCAAGCTTTGGTCAGTGGCTCTCAAACTGTAATACGCGCTTGGCTTTGCCAATTGCTCTCAAACTGCAATGCGTGATTGGCGTTGTCAATTGCTCTCAAACTGTTAGATATCAACAGGGCGACCAAAAGTGACTCTCAAACTGTAATTTGCACCACGCCTTGGTCAGTGACTCTGAAACTGTAATAAACGCGTTGCATTGAACAGTGACTCTAAAACTGTAGCCGTCCCATACGGCCTAAAAGTATGCTACAAAATTATTCGAATTTAAGTCAAGCTTTTTCCCGTAAAATATCAGTATTTTGGCCATAAGAATGGAAGAAATGATCCAAATATGGTGTGTCGTACCTTGTTGAACTCGTAATTAAATTCCCTATCGATTGGCATTTCAACCTGGAAATTTTTAATTTTTGCCATTTTTCGAAAAAAATGATGATGTTACCCCTTACAAAAAAAGCGAAAATTGGGTCAAAATTTAATTTTCCCAAATCAGTCGGGAAGTGCACTGATATTAATTATAAGATCGTAAGCTGCACAAAACAGTGCGCCTTTTTGATTTGGGACCATTTTTGGCTAAGTTACAGCCAAAAATCCATAATAAAAAATCAAATTTTTACCATCAAGATCCTGATTTTTCACCCAAAAAATTAGTATTTTCTGTTAGTATAGTACTCCTGAAATATCTCTATTTTGGCCTCTTCGACCATGTTGAATTTACCAAATGGTTTAAGCGCGTAACATGAAGATAAGAAAGCTGGTTTACGAGATGTGTGTTGGATTTGGCCCTATTTGTTGCGCTCATCTTGCTCCACGCTGTTGTTTTTGTTTTAATCTCAGGACACAAAAGTTACGCTAGTTTATGAAAAAGTCTTTGGCTGTCAAGCTGTCCAATTTTTAGATATAGTTGTACGCTTCCTCGGTAGCCCCTCAACTTCCCCCTTACGTCTTCTTCTTTCGCCCTGTGCTGTTGTTACTGTCGAGTTTTGTACTTTGCTCTTCTTAGTTTCCTTGTCCTCATTTTCTTAAGAAAGAACGGTGTAGTCTGGTCTCTCGACTATGAGATACCCATTTTTTTTACCAATGATGCTGAATACCTAGGAGACAAAAAAGATTTATCATAAGTTGTCAAATATGGTAACTTTCGTATAAAAATGGTTTGATTTCGGTTATAATTTTTTAGAAAAATAAATACTTTTGATATGGATACTTACATTATTTTCCATATACCTAGGTTTTCAATTGGACATTATTATATCGATAGCATTTAAAGCTGGTCAATTTTGTACAAGTACAACATGCTCTTTTCCCTCGCAAGTAAAAGGTATAATAAAAAACTTTCGGCAACATTTTGCAATGTTTCGCAAAAAAAGTGTTGCCTGCTTTCGGGCATGTGCCGCACACACACACACTTACACACACAGACATTGGCTTGTTTAAAAGTTGATTTCAATATAAGTTTTATGTCTCGTAATATTGAAAAGGGCGACACTGCCCTGACGGGCATTAACTTTTAAATTTTCTATCATGAATCGAAGTGCTTCGATTAAACGAACAGCTGACAGCATGCACTTCAAAAAACATTTCATTCTTTACTTTACCTTATTCCTAATGATAATAATTCGAACACGGCAAGTAAAACATTTAATTCGTTGGATTCGTTTTATTCATAGTTTATTTCAATATTTTATATGTTAGGCAAATTATGCAAAATTATAAAAAACGTATATATAAGAACCCTTCTATCAATTACAATTAGATTACAATTTTTAATTATAATTGTTTTGATTTTGAGCTAATTTGAACAATTTGTTCGCAACGTCATTTTTATGGTTTTTTCGAGGTTTTAGAAATGTTTTTTGCGTTTCCGAGATATTTATTACAATTATGTTGCGCGCTTGTCCAAATTGTAAAGAAAATTCTACAAATAATTACTGTGTAAAAACGCTGAATACAAAAAAAAACCAGCACAATAAAATTAACGTAAGGTAACTTATTATTTATGTAATACTTTTGCTTACTTTAATTTAAAACCAATTGTGGATTGGGTACATTTATTCTGTTGATTTTGTTTATGAAATCATTGCACCCTAAGTCGAATCGAATAATGTTTTTTCTAGGGGCAAGTATGGGGCTGAAAACTTTACATGTCTCATCTATTATTTAACTCTCAGATCATTTCTAGGCCTGCCTTCGCCTTCGCCTTCGCCTTTAACAGGAAATCATATATTATTTAATATTTTATTTTTTTTTCTATTTCCTGTTCACACTTATGAAATAAAGTAGTTTGGCAGTGCCTGAAAGTGCATTTTTATTAAATAAAAATGCATCCAGATGCATAGATCGCCTATATGGTGGTGCAGGTGGTGCAGGAAATTAAAAGTACAATTAATATAAATAATATAAAAAAAATTATGGTATATAGTTTGTTTGATTGGTAGGTAAGGTATGGTAAGGTTTTGGTAGGTGAATCATCTGATATCTGATCTTTAACTACTGAGGGTAGCTAATAGCTAGCATGCTGAATTATCCGATATTTATTTTTATAATTTCATTTCTCTTAACGATACTTTGTTGTTGTCTTTAATCTTTAATGGTCTATATTCGTTATCATGTATTTAGAATGATTGCTGCTAAATGCCTTGTATATATATTTTGTTTGGATATTAAATGAGTCGTGTGTGAAGGGGTGAAGGTAATTTCAAGGGTATTCTCAGACATACGTACATATATGGCCTGCTTATAACTTTTCTTCTTCTGTTTATGTTTCTGTTCTTTTTTAATTTGTGTACTTAATGCCTAGAATGTCATACGTAAGTCCATGTACATACAGATTTATTTTATATATATATTTTTTTTTTATAACTAGTACAATCGTTATTATAGCTGCACTTATGCACTTATGCTGCCGCCTTTCTGCCTTCTTTCTAGACTATATGTATACATAGAAGTTTCAATTCATTGTTTTAATTGCGAATGCAAACTCTTTATCATTATCTTTACCCTAACGCTCTAATGCACTTAACAAACTTACCCGCTATCAAATATACTTTCGTGTTTAGTTCATTTCCCGATTCGTGGTGGCTTTCGTAAAACAAAAAAAAAAATTAAGGATGTATTTTGTGGTTGTTCTTACGCAAAGTATATATATATATATATATATGTAATTATTTTATATATAGCTTAATGCGATTAACTGTATGCATTTGACATTTACAATTTTATAAAATTTTGCAAAATTTTGAAAAATTATGTTTTTGTTTTTGTTTTTTTAAATTTTTGCACTTAAATAAACTGTCGTTGATTTGAAAATGGATTTTTGTATATATTATTTTTTTTCATTATAGGATATTTCTTGTTTATATATAATCTTTAAAATTGCGTGTATATATATGTCTCTCTATATACGAATAATGCATTTTGTACCAAACTAACTATAGTCTACACAAAAAAAGGTGGTATATATTTAAAAATTGGGTGTTTTTACGTATTTCCGCAAATACGAATTTGGGATTAGAGATGGTTGTTCTGTTCTAAAAGCGATTTCAATTCGCCCTAAGGGATTGGAGTCTCTCTTCTGTCTTCTGTCTTCTGTTTATTTGCATCCGAAGACTTCTGTTGTGTTGCATGTTCATCGATTTAATTACTAAAACCTACATCAGTCGTTTGGCACACAAGTCACGCAGTGGCGTGAACCACGGAACAGAACAGTATAGAATCCTTACTTCTGTCGGCTATTTTTACAAGCCGCAACAGCGGATGTTGATGTTATATTTTGCTGCATCTCCAAGTTACCATTCCGTTTCCTCCACTCTCATATCATCCAAACTAGGTGCCAAACTAGACCTCGGTGCCATCCTCGCCCTCGTCATCGAAGAGCTGGCTGGTGCTGCCCTGACCGCTGCGCGTCGTCGTCACGGACATCTTCTTCTTGGGCTTCGGCGGTGGTCGCGGTGGAATCTTGGCCAGCTTCGGCGAGTCACCGGCATGGCTGGGCGAAACAGCCGACGGAACGGGCGATATATAGGCCAATCCTGCCCCACTGATACTCGAACCGGGCAGTATCGTGATCCCCTGGTGCCGCACACCGTACAGCGGCTCCGTGTCCAAGGAGCTTAGCCTTTGCTGCTGCTGCAACTGCTGCTGCTGCTGCTGTATTAGCTCGTGTATGGGCTCGTATATCTTGCTGGCATTCGCCGCATTGTTCGCCGAGTTCACCGACGTCAAACTGGGCGTGGCCGGCAGCGGACGATCCCGCATCGAGTACTGCTGACCTGCGGCTTGGGAGCCGGAATTAGAACTTCCACCCGCGATCTTGTTTAGATTTAATGTTGAATTACCGCCGGCTGTGGTGCGCAGCCCCAGATTGTCGTAAACGGGCTCCGCCTGAAGTTCCGCGGTGGTGGCAGTGCCTGTTTCGCTGGGATTCGGCGATGTGGGGCTCTGGAATTCGCTCAACTGGATGGTTCCTCCGCCTGTGGCTCCACCCGAGGTGCTGGGCGCCCAGCTAGGTGCTCGCGGCTTGCGCGGTATGGTCATGTAGCCCTGTTTCATGACCACGCCCGTGGCCGGCGAGTAAACGACGGGGGCGGGCAGGAAGGGCGATGTGGTGGCCAGCGGATGCTGCTGCTGTTGCTGGAGGAGATGCTGCTGCTGCTGCTGGTGATTCAGCTGCAGCTGCTGCTGCTGATGATTCAGCTGATGCTGATGCTGGCGACTACTGTTGGCGGTGGCAATCAAGGCGAGGTTCCTCGACTTTGGATGCTGCAGCGTCATGAAGCCATTGTGCGGAGCTGTGAGCGTCTTGGTGCCGTAGATGCCGTGCGGCGTCATGTGCGTGTAGACGGGACTGGTCAGCGAGGGCGGCGAGCGGATGCCGTAGATCACCTGGTCGGGGATGTTCGACTGCGAGGACTGCATCGAGGGCGAGGTGGGCGGCACGCGGGCGGGGAAGGCCAGCAGGTCCGGCGGCAAGCTATTGGCGTAGGCGTCGTCCACGTAGGTGTGTCGCGATCGGGGCGTGGTCGTCGTGTCCGAGAGGGCCACCGAGTGGGCTTCTTCGTCCCGCGAGTGGTTGGCCACTGAAACGATAGGAAAGAAACGATTTTATTTAATATAATATAAGAGAAGGGGCCATCGAAATAGCTTGTTTTTTAAATAACTTTTAATTAATAAAGAGTTTTGTTTTTTCACCTTAAAGATTCATTTTAAAATAATATTTAGTACATTTTGGTTTTCCTAAATCCCTTTTTTTCCATCACTTTCCTAAAAATATATTTTTTGAAAAATTTTTACATTTTTTGATTTTTTGCGAAAAATGGGCAAAAAATAAAATGGTCAGGTTTAAATGCCAATCGATTGGAAATTTAATAATGAGTTCAGAAAGGTATGACAATCCATATTTGGATCAGTATTTCCATATTTACGGTCAAAAAACGAAATATTTTTTTGTTAAAAATTGGGATTTTGTTTTTGGTAAAAATTTGACTTTTTTCTGTTGGTTTTTTTGCTGTAACTTGGCCAAAAATGGTCTTACACAAAAAATACATACAGTTTTGAACAGATAACAACATAATAAATAAATCCATGACACTTTCCGGGTGATCTTGAAAAAATAAAATTTTTGTCAATTTTCCATTTTTTTATAAGGGAGTACATCATCATTTTTTGCAAAAAAAAGGCAAAAAAATAAAATGTCCAGGTTTAAATGCCAATCGATTGAAAATTTAATAACGAGTTCAGAGAGGTATGACATTCCATATTTGGATCAATATTTCCAATGTTACGGTAAAAAAACGAACTATTTTTTTTGTGAAAAATTGGTTTTTGGTAAGAATGGGAATTTTTGCTTTTTAGCTATAACTTGGCCAAAAAAGGTTTTTAGATAAGTTTATAAAGCTTTTTTGTTAGCAACCAAACCACACAGAAAAAGTAAAACGTTTATTATATTTGATGTCCTCGAACAGAACACTCCGCATTATCCGTTCAAGGGGCTTTGGCTTTCAAGTGTTATGCGCTTCGTTGGTAAGCCCTCTGCCGCATAATCCGAAACGGGGGCAAATAGTTTTTGACAGGCATTTCTTTTGAAAAATAATGATTCTTGGGTAATCCCCCTCCGTATCGGCGGCGCTTTGGCAGATGTCAACGCTTGTTTGCCCCATCGGACAATCGGACCATCGGAAAATCGGACAGGGAAAGCAGCATATAAGTGACACACGGGTGCAGCAGTCCATCAATTGGATTCAATTGTCTTTGCAATTGTCAATGCAATTCAATTGTCAACACCAATTGGCAATTTATTTGCTTATTTTATTATTTATTCTAGCCTTAAAGGACAAAGAAAAGTCTTGTAAATGTAACGAGCACAAGATAATAGGAAAAATATTAATACTACAAATATAAAGGATTCCTTTAAACTAATTCTTGATGATACTTTCTTTACCTTTGATTTAAAAGAAACTATAGGTCAAATCGCCTCAACAACCTTAATATCTTTACCGATTTTATACAAGTTTTATGGGTTTACTAATTCTTATCGCTATGTAAAACATTGTTTTCAATCGGACCATTAATTTAAAAGTTATGAACAAATAAAGGAACACACACGTGCAAGCAGTCTCTTCACACTTCCTTTAGCTGAGTAAGGGGTATCTGATAGTCGAGCCTCTCACTTGTTCTTTTGTTAATAGGATGGCTTAATTGCCCCAATTAATACAAAGACTCTACCCTCAAACTTAAGACATCACTTCCTTATGATGACTGATGAGTGTGACTGCCTTATCGACTGTGGCGTGGTAATAGATTCCGTCCGACTAAAGGTGATTTACGGAGTTAATTTAGTTTGACGGCACACCGTTTAATATTGTCCTTTTGGATGGGACTTGTATTCGCGCTACGTACCTATATATATACATACTAGCATACACACGAGTATGTTTGCTTTGTGAAGCATTTGGAATAGCGTTTACGTAATAGCTGATGAGCAATTCGAAATTTAAAACAAACATCCGAAGGCCTGACTGTTGAACTGCTGAACTACTGGTGTTTTAGCGCGACAGGATGACCTGGATGGGTTAGGAGACCCATTCCTGTGTGTGTGTTCGTGTTGCCTTTTCCGCGAAAATAACAAGTGTGTTGACATTGGCGTTGGAATTGGCATGGTCATGCCGCCAATGCCATTGACAAACGTCCTGGAGTGGCAATTGAGATGGAAACTTTGGGTAAATAGACGACCAGGAACGTGGCCCTCGCATCATTTGGTGCCCAACCGCCATGATGACACAGGAAATAAGTCATGTAGCTCGTTATTAAAGGACAAAAAACTGTCAAAGGTATTTACAAAAAAAAATACTACAAAAGAAGGGAGGGGTGCTTTTTTTACAATAGTCGTAGCTCACTTGATGTTACTGCTATCATTACAAGTTTTATTTATTAAAATTAAACGATAATCCCATTTTTTTTTACTCAATGACACTGATTATTTTTGATTTTTATTACAACACTCAGGCGGCAATAATCATCGCCATTGTTGATTAAAACAACTGGCGAAATGTGGTCGGTTGTCGGTTGTGTCGTCGGCACCCCTAGGAAATGCATTAAAAAAAAACGAAAGGGAGCAAAAATAAATCGCCCCCATACCATGAATTTAATTGGCTACTAAATACGTAATACTACTCTTTTTTTTACAAATAATAAACGTTAATGACGAAATAAAATATGCAATCATGGTCAACATGTGTGGTTACAATTTAGTTCTGCGCAACAAAAACTCGAATCCTTTAATTTTTGCGTTTAAACATTAAACAGAATTAGAAGCCATTTAAAGCTGGGCATGTAAATTAATTTGTAAATCAGAAACACCACAGATTGACACGACCTGTTGGAATCTCCATTGTTTTGGGAAACACTTTGTATCAATGCAGGAGAAAAGGTGGCAAATTAGGATACACCATTAAAAGAAATGATCATAGAAATTAAACTATTGAATTTCAAAAATATCTTAATAAGATATAAATAATAATACTTTTGGCAGTATTAAAATTAAAAACTCGATATAGAATTGAAACTACAAAGTGAAAACTTTAAAATATTTACAGAACAGATTTTATATTATTCAGTATTAAAATAATACCCCTCTCTTGTCTAGTATATTTTCAAAATACCACTCTTCTAGTATATCTAGTATATTTTCAACACAACGGGTATTGAAAGTTAAATACCACTATTTAAAATGCTATATCTAGGATATTTTCAACACAACGGTTACTAAGGGTTGGAAATACCACTCTTTTACCTAGTATATCTATTATATTTTCAAAGCAACTGCTATTAAAAGTTAAAAATACCCTTATTTTTCTAGTATATCTAGTATATTTTCAAAACAACCGCTATTAAAAGTTAAAAATACCCCTATTTTTCTGGTATATCTAGTATATTTTCAACTCAACGGGTTTTAAGAGTTAATCTTAATTTTTTTCTTGTTATAATACTCACCATAAACCGTGTCGTCGAGCAGCGTCTTCTTAATCTCGAGCACATCGTCGCCGCCGTCCACGCTCTCGATGTCCGTGCGCCGTGGCGGCTTCTCGACGGGATTGACCTCGTTGAGCAGGCTCTTCTGCATCTCCATAATGACGGAGCCCTCGAGCATGGAGCCGTTGTGCGTCTTGTCCAGCTTGGACGAGATCAGCCCATCGCCGCTCATCATGGTGGTGTCCTTCTGGTAGGTCTTAATCCTTCGGCAATACCAGAACAAGGCCAGCACCACGACAATCAGGAGTAGCAGCAGTGTCGTGGTAATCAGGCAGATGATCAGGAACACATTCGTTTGCGGATCAATGGTGGGCGCTCCAATGGCACCCATGCCGCCCAATCCCATGCCATCGGACGAGGATACGGCGCCGGCATAATCGCCGCTGACGAGCAATTGGAACTCCGCCTCCGCTCTTCCTCCCCGATTGTCGGCCACACAGGTGTAGGCTCCCTTGTCCGAGGCCCGCACGCCCACGATGCGCAGCTCCGAGGTGAGAACCGAGGACTGGGACTCCGCCGCCATCGGCTCCACGGAGGTGAGGACTCGCACCCGGGGATCGTACTGCTGCAGCGGCCGCTTGTTGTACACCCAGGTGACATTCGGCCGCGGACTGCCGACAATGCGGCAGGGCAGCGAGATGTTGTCATGATTCGCCTCCACAAAGGATCGCACGGAGCCCAGGATGCGTGGCCGGCAGGCAAAGTTCTCAGAGGGCACCTCACTCCACAGCTTGCCACGCAGCTGCGGCGGCTCCTGGCAGTCGGTGGGCGGCGTATACAGACGCTTGTTGATCGCAAAGTCCCGGAAATCCTGCAGCTCGCAGCTGCAGTTCCACGCATTGCCCTGCAGCGACAAATGCATCAGCTTCTGCAGATCCCGGAATGTCTCCCGATGCAAATGGGCCAATCGATTCTGCTCCAGCGAAATGGCGCTCAGCGCCACCGTGCCGGCAAACACATGCAGTTGCACTTGCCGCAGTCGATTGTTTCGAAACTCGATGCGTGAAAGGTAGCTGAGATTGACGAACAGGTGATTCGGCAGCACTTCAATCTCATTGTTGTTGATTATCACGTTGCGCAGCTTCTCGAGGCCAGCGAACGTGCCCGGATGGAGTTCCCTTATCCGATTGCCCGACATATCCAGCTCGATCAGGATGTGCAGACCCTTGAAGGCCTCGCGATGCACCTCCTGGATGGTGCAGTTGCGCAGATAGACCTTGTGCACATTGGGCAAACCGGCCAGGAGGAACTCCTCGCGCCGCAGCTCGGGTATTTGGTTGTGGGCAAAGTCCAGCACCTGCATCTCGTTGCTCATGTCCAGGGGAATCTTTGTCAGCGCCTTGTTCTTGCAATCGGCGCTCTTTTTACCCGAATTCCAGTGGCAATGGCAGGGGCCGCAGCTCTGCATCCAGTCGGATGTCCCAGCTGCTAAGGGGAGGAGGAGGAGTAGGAGAATCCCCAGTCGTCTGGCCATCATAGCTTGGTTTTGGGTTCTGGGTTCTGTGTATCGGGATTTGTTTATAATCCGCGACAACGAGCCACCGAACACGTGCCACCAAGTGGTCGGGATTCCGGTAGTCCGGGGCTCTTTACTCGCCTCGCCGCGTCCTGTGTACGTGCTCTAAACTAAACTCCTGCCCTTTTTCGGGGTTAATCCTTTTGACGCACTGTTAATTTGATTTCTGCACCCTTCGCTTCGGCTTCTCTTTCGGCTTGTGTTGTTTTTTTCTTCCTTCGTTCGTTCGCTGTGCCACTCCTTGATCCTTGCGAATGACAAGGCCGTGATTAATTAATGTCCCGTCGTCCCGGCGGACAGTGGTGGGCTCTAAGCTCGCAAATAGCCGTGCTTCTCCTGCTCCTGCTGATGTTTTTACCTGAAAGAATGCGCAAAAAAAACGCAGAGAGAGTTTGTCAATTAATAAAGTGTTTCGAAAAGTGTGTGCTTTTGGTCCACCCCAAAAAAAGGACAAGGATACAGGGGATACACGCGTTTACCCATGGGGTTGGATTGGGTTGGGTTGGCTTGGGTTTCGGTTTGGTTTGCTAACGAGGCAAAAGGTGAGACATTAGCGGCAAGGCCAAAAAGGATTTGCCTTATTGGCAAAAGTTTGTTGTGTGTCATCAATGGGGATTGGGTAATTAGCGAGAGGCATTCGATGTTGGCTATGTGTGCACACATATGGTCTGCATCTTCATCTTCATACAAGAGGATTATGTTGGGATCGACCCAAAGAAGTAACAAATGTTTTTATATCCTAATTTGCATACAAGTTTTATAACCATATTTTATGTGCTTTTTTTTTAATTTTAAGTAAATGGTTTAAAAATATTTTTGTTAAAATAAAAATTAGATCTGAACTTTATCTAATTTCGGTTTTTAAAACAAAATTTGTCACCCAAAAGGTATGACTAAAATTCGCTTTTAATTTTGTTTAATTAATTTCTTATTTCTCATTTAGTCATGACTAATTAACATGTTAATTATGTGGCCATGGCAATATTTTATTTTGATTAATTAATGCAAAAATATTAAAGTGATAAATTAAATATAAATCACCTAATTAAATACATTTTTTTTTGGTGAAATGGCTGCTAATTATTTTCTAAACATATTTAAAGATATCACAGCCAGACCAATTAAAATAAATCAGAGTTAAATTAAATGAACGCTTGTTATTTTAAGTGAAATGCTGTGAAATTGTAGGTCATATTTCACTTTGAATGGCAATGCAAGTATTTTACCCTACAAATTTTTAAATAAATAAATCAAATAAAAAATCCGCACCACAATTAAGAGGATTTTCTGGTGTTGGTTGGCGGCGGCAGAAAGAAAGAATCCCCCTCCGAATCCCCGAAAGAAGATTGACAATGGGACGACAAAGGCAGAAAACAGAGAACAGGGATTCGGCTGCTCCTGTTTGTAGGTTTGTAGGTTTGGAGCCTGGAGTCCCCTTAATCTCGTTCGTCCTCTACTCGTTCGGCTCTCCAGCTCTTCAGCTCTTCAGGTGGCAGTCACAGCGGCTTGATTAATGAAAATGTTGTTAAACTGTGACAGTTTGCGGCTTCTAACTGACTTGCGGCATCGCTGCCAAGCCATCAAAAGCTGGCCCGCCCAGGCATTTTCTGCTCTCCACAGGGTAAAAGTAAAGCCATCATATTGGATGGTAAAATGTGAAATGGTAGATGGGTTAGTGGGTAGACCCACCGGGCGCTTTTCTTTTAAGCAAGTGCAAACAAGACAGCAACAAAAAAAAAAAGACGCTGCTGCGGATGAAGTACCGCCTTTTTGGCATTGAGCCGGGTTCCGCTTTAATTAAGCGCCATTCGTGACGTCAACACTTCTAAAGACCCAAAAAAAAAAGGCTCCACGTGCTCTTCTCTCATGTCGATCCACTTTTCCGGACAAATATTGGTTCAACGCTGTTGTTGAACCCCCACAAAACTTTATTAAATACCGAAACAAGCAGACGACATCAATTATTTAGGAACTATAAGCAGTATAGAAACCAACATTCATTTAAAAAAAAAATTGATTGAGCAATTCATAAGTTTGACAGTTTTTTTCCTTGAGATATTATTTATTCATTGGAAAATCAAGAAAAAAAACCATTACCCCTAATTTTTACACGAATACAATATTCCGTTGAACTCTGCGAAGTGTAAAGCTTATAAAACGAAGAAGGAACCGACTTAGAAACACCTTGTACTTCAATTTCTGTTAGAAAAGTATTTATCTTATAAAATTTAATGATATATTTTCACAAAATGAATTCATTTTATGGCGCATCTAATGAGTTTTGATAATTTAATTTTGTTTTATTAAATATTTAAATGTTTTATTTGATTTTTATCCAATACATTTAATTATAAATGATTTATTTGATACAAAATTGAAAATCAATATCACAAAGGCACTCTCAATTTATTTCGATGATTCTTTCCACCTCTTAAAAAACAAAGTATAATACATCCATTTCACCTACTATTTACAAATGTATCGAAATAAACAGAAAGACAAATATTTGGTGTTTTTGATACATTTTTAGATTGGCTCGCCTTTTGTGGCGGTTTTCGTTTCGTTTCATTTCGTGTCGACTGATTTCAAGTTCAAACCTTCGCAAAGGAGAAATCAAGGGGCGGAGATAAGTGGGGGTTTTAAAGGCCGGCTCGTTTCATTCGTATATTCAGTTGGATGGATATATGGATATATACTTTGAGTATGCCCGTGTGTGTTGTTTGTTTTCCTTTTGTTTGTGCACAATTTTTGTAATTTTTCTCTTCGTTTTTTTCGACGTTTTGCTTCTGTTGTTGCTGCCTGTGTGTCAGCGGTTTTTTGCTCGGATAGAAAAAACCTCAAAACAAATTAAATATGCAAATAAAAGAAAAGCGGTGCAATTTTTCGCTTTGTTAAATATTTTCTCAATGGGTTTTCGTTCGTTGTTTTACCACTGGGTGTTGGGTACTGGGTGCTGGGTTGATTTTAAAAAGGGGGTTTCGTTCTATTGTCGTGGGTTAGAAAGTGCAGGTTGTGAAGCTTCGGTTCTTCAGTTCACAGTCCGTTAGGATGGGAATTTCGTGCGGTGAGCTGGTGGGTTGGTGAGTTCCAGGCGAAGAACCGCCAAACTTGGATTAATACCTCAAAACTTTTGAATGCGAAATCGCAGCCATTTACAACGACGACCCACAAAACTTTTGAGTTACGCTCTGTGTAATATGTATATGAAATTTGTTTGTTTGGCAAAAACCAGTAAATCCTTGCCTTTGTCCCTGTTCGCAAATTAGCATTTTTAGTGGGTTACTCGCAGATTAGAAGCTAAGCAATTCAGACTGGGGATGTGTATAGAGAGGAAAAGTCAATATCGTATCGAAAATATCGTAGTTTGGTATATCGAAATTTAAAAAATCGAAAAATATCTCATTTATCGTTAAAATATCGATGTTATCGAAAAATAAATATTCCAATAATCGATTTTTATACAGAATTTTCATTCTTAATTCCGACCATTTTATACAATCTATGATGATTCAGAATAACTCAAGAGAATTTTATTTCTTAGCCAGTACTTCCTTTCCTAGTTATTTAAATTAAGACAAAAATGTACATGACAAAAACCCACAATAAAAAAAATGTAAATATGCAAATGTGTGAAATGTAATTTTCTTCGTAAGAGAATACCATTTGGTATCAAATCAAAGCTTATAAATCCAACCTAATCCTCTGTGCCTGCAACGTGCCAAAAATACAAAAATATGATTTTAATTTCATCTTTTCATCACATCTATAAATAAGGCAATACAAATTGATTGTTTTATAAATAACTTAAGTCCGCGTTCGCGTTGGTTTCGGTTTCGGGGCTGCAAACTGCCATAGAATTTAACGTTGTCATTTTATTGGCAATTGCGGTTGTAATTGCTATATGGTGGGCACACGCCCCATATTCAAACGATAGGATGGCTGAACTGAAATGAACCCGAACTGAACCCCGTTCCCGAACCCCAACCACCATGAAAGTACGGGGCCTGTCCGCAAAATCCATGGACGGACAGACGGACGGACAAACGGACAGACGGACGGCCATTGTCTATTGTCAGCTTAAATCGATTTAAACAAATTTAATTGCTTTGGTTTCGGTTTTCGTTTCGTTTCGTTCATTTTATGGCGCCCAATTCACTTTTCTTTGTTTTTTTCTGTATTTTTGTTTTTTGTTTTCCGCTTTTTGGGTTCTCTTCTCCATTCTCTCCATTCTGTCGTATGCCAATTGGCAATGGCATTTTAAGTGTGTCTATGTAACAAAAGTTGTTGAACCGTTGAAAGCGGACAAGAATTCAATTTTTTGTTATTTTGTCGTCACAACAATTTGTTGCTAAATGAAGCGAATTTCTTTTTTCCTTTATTATTTGCCCTATTTTTCCGATCCATTCGCGTTAAAGTAAGAGTAACAGTAGCAATAGCAATGTCTATATTGGGTGGAGTATCCTCCACAGCTCCACTTCACCGTGGGAAACTCAAGCCACAAAAGCTCCTTTGCCTATTTTTACATCAAGGTTGTTATAATTTTGGTCCCCAAGGATTGTAACGCGGTAAGGCCGTTATTTTCGTTCTCATGTGCCAAAAGGCATTTTCGCTAAAAGGTCAAAAATAGGTCAAAGAAATTTAAATGTACTTCGATTCTGTTGCAGCATTATTATTTTAAATCTAAAAAAACCTATAGTTTTATTTATTTTGTTCCCCCATGGCTTAAATCAATTTAAGGGTATATCAACTTCGACGTTTCCCATTTAACTTCCTCTTTTGTTTGTAATTGCTCTCTGAATGCGATTGTTAATCTAGCTTCTATTCAAAGAGCTTGCCATAAAAGCATGCGGTTCTTGTACGAAAATAAAGGAAAAAAAATGGAGAAAAGAAAAACAATTTCATATACATATTAGCTTTTCGTCGTTTTTCGCCACTGATGGCGACGAACGATGCAAGAACACTTCTTCACACATGTGTTTTTGTTCTCCCAAATTGTATTGGTGTTTGCTCTTTCGTAAGCACATTTTTGGGCACTCCTGGTCTATACTCCTGGTTATTTGTCCCCTTTATAAAGCGCTTTTATTGCGGTCATTGTGGGCAAAACAAACTCACTTTGTGGTTTCATTTTTAAAGTTTCTACACCCAGAAAAATGATGGACAACATTTTAGGTCATGCATAGCCTAAAACATTTTAAATGGACTAAAAGTTCCTTTTTAGGTCATGTACTGCCTATAAATTTAAATTTTTGGTATATTTGCCCTACTATTTAGGTCCCGTATAGCCTAATATTTTAGGTCAGCGTGGGCCTTAAAATTAATGCCTTTTACCTAAATAAATTTGCACGGAACTCTGATACC